CCAGACTAGCCGCAGCTCTGTCCCATGCTCCGCTCCAGGCTCCTCCAGCTGCACGCACCCCTGGGAGGGCATGGTGGGGTGTGTGTCCCTGGATCTGTGTGGGGCAGGGTAGGCTACAGCTGCAGGCTGGGGCTATGGCCAGCACCAGTGCCAGGCTGTTCCCAGCTGTGCTGCGGGTGGGTGGCAGCGGTACTGAGGGAGGACTATGGGGGTGGGATACAGTGAATTTGGGGCTGGCTGTAGCCCTTCCTATAGCCCCCTACCAGTGCTGTCACCGCCCATCCCCTGCTGGGAAGAGCCCAGCCCCAGCCCGCAGCAGCATCCCGCCCTGCCCCGCATGGATCTGGGGGCACCACTCCCTCCCCCACCGCTGAGACCGCAATCTGCCCCCACCCCCAGCCCCTTCCCTCACAACATACTTACCCACCAGACCTGGCTGCTCTCCAGGCTACCTGTGTGCTGTGCTGCAGCTGTGCGAATGCATGCCGCATTTAAAAAATTGGCCACATTAGGTGCGAGTACCCCCTAGGACCTTTTTACGTACCCCTAGGGATACACACACCCCCAAATGACAACCAATGGTTTACTGCATTCCAGGATTTACTCTTACAGCTGCATTTGCCTATTCCTCTGTTATGAATGGGAAGCAAGATAAATACTTTAGGTATTGTAACTGTGGCAGTTACAATGCCACAGTTACAGTTATTGTAACTGTTACAATATTGTAGTTACAATATTGTAGTTACAATACAACAGTTACAATATTGTAAATATTGGCAGTATTTAATGGTGCCAACTGAACTTGCATTTCAAGGTGTAACTACTAAGGATTCAAATGCTGCAACTGCCTTTGCTAATCAAATCATTAGCTATTGAAATGTTACCATTTGTGTGAATAAATAGCTGTACACACAAAACTGTGGGCAAAAATCGTAAAAGCTGTTAACATTTGGCTGATAAAGCCAATAAGAATGAACTCATTCAAATAGTGAACAGCATAGGCTACTGCAACTCATAATCCACTACCTACAGCTCTCAGGGACTTTGAGCTAGGGGACACAACATGGTACACCCAGCACTAACGATTGAGAGAGAAGGAGGAGCTACTATCATAGGGCACTTACAGAAGTTACATTTTTCGCATGAGGAGGCCCCTAAGCACTATACAGTCATAATATAACACATGTTCATGACTACAGAGCACTTTTAAAATGGCCAATTGCATGAAAATTTAACCCTCATTTGATGCACTATCAAATAGGGACACTTTAAGGCAGAGTGTCTTAGGGAACCTGTGTACAGGATCTCTGTGCAGGTTAATTTTGAGCTATTCCACCTACATCCCATGCCACATCCCAGACAGTCTTCTCCCTGTTCAGTGGGAGGGGGGAAGGGAGAAGGGAGCCCCCCCCTCCCATATATGCCCCCTAACAGTTTGGGGAGGAGCCGAGCTGAGCCTGCAAGGAGTAGGGCTTCCCCCCACCACCTGACTTGCAAATACCCTGGCAGTGTCAGGGACTGCCACACTGAAGATGGGGCAAGGGGGGTAGAAATGGAGGCTCCCCACCTCACAGACCCATCCTAGCTCTACCCAAGACCCCAGCAGGGATAGTGGGGCTGGGCCTGTGTGGCGGGGTGGGGCTCCATTTCCCACCCCCAACTCCAGACACGACACCCTCTGCTGCTGTCAAGATGCTCCGGTGGAGAGTAGGGCAGGGAAAAAATAGGCCTTTGCCTCATGGGCCCAGTCCAGCTCCCCCAAAGCCCCAGAAGTAGCAGCTGGGTGGGGACACCTGTGGCAGGTGGGGCTCTCTTCCCCTACCCCCGCCCCCTAGCACAAGCATCTTGACAGTGTCAGAGGCTGCTGGGGGCAATTGCCAGCTGGTGGAGGGAGCAGGGCTGGAAAGAGGGTTGGTCAGCAGCCTCCTGGGAGATTGGCAAGACTGCCCCTGCCTGCTGGCCAGGGCCCGGACAGGCTTACTCCTACCTTAACAGGTGAATGCCTGTTGGATTCAATGGTGCTAACTCATGATACTTTGTGTAAAGCACCATGAGTACAAAGCATCATGAGTTAGAGCACCTCCCTGACAGGCTGCCCGCACTTGTGTAAGCACCCATAGTTTTGTTCTACCTGAGGATGCCCTAAATAGCAAGAATTTTCAGAGGCTGAAATCATTGTTTCCATGTCTGCTTTGCATACAGAGCAGCACAGCCTAGCCAGAATAGGGCTGACATTCTGACCTACACAGAACAACAAAAATTATGACTCATCTGCCTGGAAACTTCACTGGAGACTTCAAAAGAGCTTACACATGTGCTTAAAGTTAAATGCCTGAGCAAGTACTTTGCTGAACTTTGCTACTAAGTTGTGCAAATCAGTATGGGAAGTGCATCCATTACCTAATAGGAAAACTAGTGGAATATGCTCTCTGCTGCTTCTCTTCATATCACTGTATTAGACTTCATCTAAGACAATTTGCATAACAACATAAAAATACTCTTTAATAGGAATCTCTATAGTCTTATTAGCTGAATTTAATGTGTTTTTTATTAACAGTCTGCCTCTCTTCTCTGGGTCACATCTAAACAGCATCAAAGTCAGCAGAAAGACTTCCCAGATTTCATGATGCTATTTATGTGCATCATACTGAAAACATTTCAGCATATCGCACTCCAGCAGGAAGGATTCCCCAGCCTTGCTATAGTAGTAATCACTAAGAGAAAAAAAAGAAAACAAACACCACACTGATTTTGTACTCACAAATTTGGCCCCTGATCTTCTTCTATCTCTTCTCTAGGTATTGGATAAAGTGCCTCATACGTTCTTCCAATTCCAGACCCATGGATGGCATATGCATTCATCTTGTCTACACCAGGTGGAAAATACCTCCAAGGTATGAGGGCTGTGCCATTCCATTTGTTCCAGTGTATGTCTGCTTTAAAATCCAAGTCAAGGCCTTTCTTTAATTAATATTAAAAAGAAAATGGTTAAAATGCCACCTTATCATTTAAATAACAAATTAGTATCACCACAGCATAGGTATTTGCAAACAAGCAACAGTATTTTAATTATCTGAATGATATGGAATGTTTAAACATGATATTGGGGGAAAGGTCTATAAAGTGTTTCCAATAAAATATTAACCACTGTTAGACAAGTATTTACTTTTAACATATGGATTATAGCAAACCATAAATTTTGTTATACAATATAGTCTCCTGTGCGGATCTGTGCTCTTCACTCATTGTCTACAACAACTGTTTCTGTAGTTGCGATCTCCATTATGATAGTGCCCGGTGCTTGTGTGTACTGTCTGCTGTTGGTAAGTACCAAAATTGTCTTGTAAAAGTGGTAGAAATGAGTCTGGGAGTCAGTACACTTGAGGTCTTGGAACATATCCCTATTTGTTACATTGTAAAGTGGGTTCCCTTTATGTGAATTCAAGTTATGCACCGTTTTCCAGAAACACATGTACAGCATAAAGCAAGGGAAACCTGTACTCTTAAACCTTGGTTATACTAATGTAGCTGTTGCAATACCTACGATGGGTCTGTAACAATGTGCGCGCAATTATTTTTTTTTTGGTTAATAGTGTGGCTTTTCAGAATAGTAACTTCTGGGTTTGGTGTTTTCTGGTGGTTAGTGGACAGCTGAAGGAAATACACAGATTGCTGCATCAAAGCCAAAGGCCCTTTACTCAGCTGATTGTTAACACAGTCATCACTGCTTAAATGTGAACAATATTTCATCAAAAAAGTCCAAATCTTAGGAATTTTGCTTAGGAAAATTGCAAAAAAGGAAGCAGGACTGGAGCCTAGCAAGTATAAGAAAATGTATTAAAATTGCATTTCATTCTCCTTAAAATACAAACAACACTATCTGGTGAATTCTCACATAGGTACAGATTTCACTATTAAGTCAAACATTCTTACTACAGTGTATGGACCACATAAAATCCATCTGTCAAAGACTGCATGCAAGACAGAAGTGTCAACCGCAATGTTCAAGTGAGAAATGTCAACTGCAAAGTTCAAGTGTGAGACATTTGTAAAAGCATATCTGGAGTCTGTACAAGGGTTTCATGTCATCCTAGACTGTTAAAATAGTTAGGTTTCCTTGAAAATAAAGAAAAGGTCAAACTGATCCTAAATTAATTACTATTACAGTGCAATCAAAACTTGGATAAAAGAATATGCTTTTCAATAGGTGAGGCTTTGATTAATTTGATAAATCTTCATCCATGGAGCCAAGTTAGGAGTGATTTTCAGGCAAGCTGGCATTGCTCAAATAAACTGTACTATTACTATGATTTATATTACAGACAGTAAAACAAATGATGAAGTGAAATTTACAATCCTTAATAACTACCCAGAAAAAAAAAAGGTAGGAAAGTAAAGAGAGCAGTGACTGGCAATTTGCAAAACTGTCAGTAAAGGAAAGTGTGGAAAACCATTACTTTTTTTTTTTTTTTAAATAACAGAAATTGATTTTATCACGATTGTTCTCTATTTTTAAAAAAAGGCATTTTAAAAACAAATGCCACACATTTAACCTTGAAGCTGTTGCACCTTAAACAGAGATCTACTATTCAGTGACACAGCTGACACTGTGAACAAGAGGTATAAAATGAGCAGCATTTTACACATTTCAAAGCGTGATTTGTGAACCAAAGTTATTTTATTTTCATTATAAAGTGACTCTTAGAGTGGGAAAACATTTTATAATAATTTTTAAATTGTTTTTAATGTTAAAGAAGGCACCTTACTTTTACTAATTTGCTTTATTTTTCATCTCAGAATACTCATCTTTCACAAAGTAGTAAAATCAGATTAAAACATAATAATACAATGTCATATTTTACTATTTTGTACCTTCTCTGCAAAAGGCACCTTCTAATTTTAGGAAAATGTGGGACTTCTTTGTAGTGTTTAATTCTGAAAATAACCCACCCACAAAAATCAGTCTGAGAGAGAGGTTTTCAAAAGTGCTCAGCTTCCACATAAGCACCTAAATTAAGGTAGTCAAATTTGCTTTAAAAGTAACTTGCAATGGATACATTTAAGTTTACAGCCTTTTCACCTTCTTCATGATAGACAAAGAAAATCTGAAATGGTACAGAGTGGCACTCTCTTCAGAATGGGAAGTGGGAAGGGAGAGGAGAGAGATCGGTCTAGGGGTTGCCCAGCTGGTGGTGGAGAATGGGTGGGTGGATTGGGGACTCCCACCTTAAGGGAGGGGTTCCAAACCACGTGTCCCACCCTCTAGCACTGGCTGGGCAACCCCCAGACTGAACTCCCTCCACCCCCTTTCCCTCCTCCCATTCTGCCAGGAGCAAGGCTGGGCTGCATCAGCGCAATGCTGCTCCCAGCATATGCGGACACAAGATAACAAAGGTGCTCCACTTTGGAGTGCCTTCATCTGAACCCTCATGTAATGAGGTTAAGACTGTTGTGGGATTGGGGCCTTTTAAAGCACTCTGCAGCCATGCACTTCTATAAGGGCACAGCTGTAGAGTGCTTTCAGTGGCCCATCACACGACAATGTCACTTGTGTCAGCACTCTTACTTCTTTGTATGAGCTCACAGCAAGTGTCAGAGTCGAGTCTTACTTTTATGGAAGGCTGACTTGTATTTTAAAAATTAGATATCTTGTTCTCCCTGCAAAATATGTGGGAGAAATCATGGGTGTCTATTTCTGCAAGTTCAACCTAAATCTCCCTTTCTCACCATTTTGGTCACATGGTGTTAGATCTCCTACTTCTTTCTGAATGCATCAAATATTTCAATAAATCTGAAAACTACAGCAATTGCCCATATTTTCATCATATGTGTAACTGCTGTAGTTTCCAGATCCTAATGGGAAAGAGAGAAGAGAGAATAGTTAATAAAAATTGTCTAAAACAGTAGTGCTATGGCTGTGGCCTGTAAGCAAGTTCCAACCCACAAAGCCACATCATCTGGCCTGTGGGTCTCTCCCCAGGTCTAGAAATTTGATGGTGAGGGAGTGGTGCCAATGGTAATTGCTGCTGCCTCACTGCCAAATTTCTGAACACATGAGGAACCCCACAGGCCAGATGACATGATCCTGAATGCTAGATTGCACTGGTATGCCGTGGGGCCAGTCCACTGTGGTACATGGGCTTACTCTGTGGCTGGATCTGGAGCCAGATTGCACCTGAAGTCTGACCCCACACTGGATCATGCCTATAGGCTGGCTCCATGCCTCTCATCCAGTCCCCAGGGCTGAAGGATTGAGGACCTCTGGTCTAAAAAGATGAATTTCATCTGCTGAAAAAAAAGCTTGAGAAGCTTCATTCTACACCATAAAAATCAGCCTCTAGAGGAAACAAGACCAATGAAGTATTCAACAAATCCAGCATGATATAGCACTGAGAGATGCAGAGGCAAACTTGCAAAGTCAGCCCTTTCTAAAACACTTATCCCTCAAACTTTTCCAAAAATCACCAAGTTCAGAGCACAAATAAAGTAGTAAACAAGAGAGACATGTTTTCTTGCCCTTTTCAAGACACAAAAGTAAGAATAGCAATGCCATGCAGAAAAAGAGCAGTCAGTGGTAAAAAAATCTTATTTTGAAACCCTTTACAAGCAACCAGGCAGGAGGGGCTATAAACAAATACTGAAAAATATTGACGTTGTTTAGCTGATATTCCATTGTAAAATGTTTGAGGAATATTACTTACTGCAAAACAATCTCCTCCAGAAAGCAATAGTACAAGATGCTGTCCATGCCTAGCCAAAAAGAAACATGAGAAAGACAGAATTTGAACTATAATGGCAAAACAGACTCCATAACTAACTCAGAGTCTTCCCTTTTAAAATCTTGAATTAAATTTCATATCTAATCTCTCCTTTAACCAGCCACAAATTTGATCCCTAAAGACTTCAAGTATCTTGACTGATCTATCCCAATTCCCACTGATAATGGAAATGACAACCATATGCATTCACACAGTTTAAAGGTAGTGGTCTATTTTATCCCCATGCAAATAGATTACAACAGTTATCAGTTCAAATTAAAATGGTACCCAAATTAAAGTTATACATGGGCACAGAGCATAAATCAAAACTTCATCAGCTAACTTTTTGATGCATCAGAAATTAATTACTAAACAGGGAAATCAATTTAAAGACCAGCTGTTAGGATGTACTGAAATAATGTTCATCATAATGTATATGGGATTAATTATATATTATGTAAAACTGCTTTTTTTTTTTTTTTTTAAATAAATAAATTTCAGCACCCAACCATTCTACAATAAATGGAGCACTGTTCACATAGGGGAAGATGTAACATTAAGTGTTCATAAAATCATTAAATAAATAATTTCCCATTTACACACACCTCTACATACCAACTCAGAAATTGAACTGCCACTTCTCAGTAAACAAGAATATACGATTACCTGATCTTGCTATTGCTATGTTTTTAATTAATATGTTCCAATTAATTAAACCCATGATCATAACAGAATGTGTTACAATACTCACATAATGCAGACTGACCAAGATAATATTACACTGCTTTTTAAAATGCTAATATTGCCAGTATTATGGCACATCACTTACAACAGATCAGATCCTGTGAGAGGCTGAGTACCTGCAAGTGCTAAAGAACCACATGGAATCTGAGGGTGCCAAGACACTTTCATACACTCGGTAACTCACAATATCAGGTTCAAATTTTACAGGATTCAGACTGAAGATATATATTTTTTTCTATTTTTTCAACACTGTTGAGAAGTAGGGTCATAGGAAAGTGTGGCTGGAAGAGACCTCACAAGGGCATCTAGTCCAGCCCCCTTCTCAAAGTAGGATCATACCTGACTAAACTGTCGCAGCCAAGTGTCTGTCCAACCTGCTTTTGAAAATTTCCAGGGATAGAGATTCCACAACTTCTCTAGGTCACCTGTTCCAGTACTTCACCACTCTCAACATCAGAAAGTCCCTCCTAACCTCCAACCTAGATTTTGCCTGCTGCAGCTCAAGACAGCTGTTTCCAGTCCTGTCTCCTCATGCCACAAAGAATAGTCTATCGCCCTTCAGGTATTTCAAGAATGTTATCAAATCCCTTCTGAGTCTTTTATTCTCCAGACTAAATATCCCTAGTTCTTTCAGCCTTTCCTCATAAATCACACTCCCCAGGCCTCTATTCACTTTTGTTAGTCTCCACTGGACTCTTTCCAATCTGTGCACACCTTTCTTGAAGAGTGAGGCCCATAACTGGACATAATTCTCCAGGTAAGGTCTCACCAGTGCTGAATAGAGTGAAAGAATCACTTAGTTTGATTTGCAAGCAACAACCCCGTTAATACAACACGATATACTATTGGCCCTTTTTGCAACAAGAGCACACTGTTAGCTCACATTCAGCTAATGGTTTACTATAACCCCCAAGTCTTTCTCTACAATACTGCAGCCTAGCCAGTCAGTCCCCAGTCTCTACTTGTCCATGCAATTATTCCATCTCAAGTGCAGAACTTTGTATTTGTTCTTGTTGAATTTCATCTAGTTAATTGTGGTCTATTTCCCCAGTTTGTGCAAGTCATTCTGAATCCTACCCCTACTCTCTGGAGTGCCTACAAATCCACCCAATTTGGTGTCTTCTGCAAATTTGCTAAGTGTGCACTAATGAATGAAGATATGAAACAACACTGGACCCAGGAAAGACCCCTAGTGAACCCTACTTATTACTTCCTCCAAACTAGACATTGAGCCATCAATGACTACTCACTGACCTCATAAATCCATCCAGTTATGTATCCACCTTACAGTACTTTTATCTAATCTATTTCCTTAGCTTCTAATTGAGAATGCTAAAGTCAGGATATATCACATCCTCTGCTCTCCCCCCATTCACAAATCCTTATCATAGAAGGAAATAAGGTTGGCCAGGCATGGCTTGTTTTTAGTGAAAACATACTGGCTGTTTGCGGTCATCTTATTCTAATCACCTAGTCTTCACAACAGATTCCTTGAGGACCTGCTCCATGATTTGTACAGGTATAAAAGTCAGACTGCCTGGTTTGTAATCATTTAGATCCACCTTCTTCTCTTACTTAACGATGGGTACTATATTTGTCCTTTTCCAGTTATCTAGGTCATCACCCAACATCCTGAATAAAGGGTAACTAATGGTGCTGAAATGACCTTTGCCAATTTCTTCAGTACCCTCAGGTTCATCCCATCCAGTCCTATCCACCTGAAAGTATGTAGCTTCTATAAGTAATCCCTAACCTGTTCTGCCATTACCCTTGGTTGTTTGTCTCCTTCGCTATCTCTGCAGCCAATTGCACTCATAAATCAGTAGCTGTCCCTATTTGTGAAGGCTGAAGTAAAAGATGCATTAAATACTTTGCTTTTCTCTGCATCTTCAATAACTAACTAGAGTCACACTCATAGAATCCCTTTTTATTGCCTTTTATGTCTCTTGACAGTGGCATCTCAGATCATGCCTTGGCCTTCCTAACTTTCACTGTGCATGCCCATGCAGTACACTCAGACTAAAATGCCATACAAGCAAAAATTCCAAGTGTGTCTTAGGAACACCAGAGTTTTGATTTAACAAAATTAGGAAGGGAGCTTAAAAACTGCAAACTGAGCATCTGGAAAAGGGTTGGGGGTTTTTTCATTAATGGTCAAATTTTCAGACTCTTACAAATGCTAATGAGTACTGCAACTGACCTTTACTGATTGCAAGGGGGCATATTCTGTATTACATTACTACTAACATTAACTATTAGGGATGTGTGGAATTTTGGATGCTGATTCGATTCGGAGGATACTCAGCCCGATTTGGTGGCTGAATCTCCAAATCCGAATCGAATCAGGGGACCAATAAAAAGGTCTGCATCAATTCGAAGCTCTCTGAATTGATTCGGAAATGATTCGGAGAGCTTTGATGGTTCGAGCAGTCCCCACCTGCTGCAGCAGGGAGCTGGAACTGGACTCGGAGCTGGTAAGTAGGGGGCAGGGGAGGAAGGGCTGGAGGAGCGGGGGGAGGGGACCATGAGGAACCCCTGCCAGGCCCCATGCCCTGCCTGCTCCCCCAGCCCCCCTCCATGGCTGCCCTGGCCGCCCCAGCTCCCGATGCTTAAAAAAAAAAAGCTCCTACTCACCAGGTGCTGCTGGGTGGGGGGCGCAATCCCCGCTTCCCCTCATTGCCCCATGCTCCATGGGGGGCCTCTGCA